TTTCTCCTCATTTATTCCCGGCATTTGACCATTTTGGGGTCTTGTTGTTGTAAATAACAAATTGACTTCAGTTTTTTATGCGTCTGTCCTCTTATTGATGATAAATTTCGTCATAACGTTGTCAAACTTTACTGCGGAACCACTCACCTGCGGCTCGTGGTTCCACAGCCACTTTGACAATGTTATGACGCAATTCATCATCAATAAGAGGACAGACGCATAAAAAACTGACTTCAATTTGTTAAATTTACCCACGCAACATCTAGGACTAATAAAAACTCGTTGAAACATGTGCGTGCTAGAAAATGGAAACAATAAAATTAAACTTAACCAATGGAAGCGATAAAAATATTTTGATAAAAATATATTTATACAAATACTAAATTATTCTTTATAATATCGGCAGGACCCTGCGCGCGCTCTGATCGGTCAAAAACCCATTTGTTATCACAGTTTATTATATGGTTGTGTCTCACAAGGACTGGGAACTACCGAATTCACGAATTTGATTGGCTGAAATCGATATTGACCGCGGTCTAGATTTTCCCATCTAGATCGGCATCTAGACCGGTTTCATTTTGCGTTGAAGAAGTAGCAAACTAAAATACAAAAATGTTCACCATTTTCTTTTATTTTCATCTCAATCATTTATGGAAGTGCCAAAAAGCCTAATGACAAAAAAAAAAAGTAAAGAGGACGAACAAATTTCGGCAGGTTTAAGTTAAGCTCATCGCCGTTCGCAAGCAAAATGTTGGCAAACCAGTTACATTAAACGAATTAAAGTTTTCTTCTTTGCCATATAATATACATCTTATGAACCGAGCTAAGTCGGTCTGTATGGGAGAATCTTGACCTCGGTACAGACCTCACCGCAATCGGTCAGTACTCACGACCTCGGTCAAGATTCTCCCATACAGACCCCCAGCTCGGTTAATAAGTGCTAAATAAAACACAGAAAAAGCGTGTTCTATTGTTTTTATAACGAAGCCTAAGCCGTGTATTACACTGTGAAAAAAAAAAACTGCGGACATTTGAGAACACTCGAGAAATGTGGAAAAGACGAGCCTGCGGCTCGTATTTTCCACATTTCCCTCGTGTTCTCAAATGCCCGTTCTGTTTTATCACAGTGTAATACACGGCTTAGGCCTCTTTATTTGCTAAATATACAATAACCATACAAGTTAGAAAATATACTAATTTAAAATACGTTTAAAAGTAAGAACATCCTTGACTTCTCTAACATAAGGAGGTAATGAATTTCAGATCTTTGCAGCTAAAAATGAAAACCATCTATGACGCCATTCTAAATTAAAATGAGCATTAAAAGAGTGTCCGACCCTCTTAAATTATAATTACAAATTTTCAAACTTTGTATGTAGGTGGGGCTTGATTATTCATGCATCGGTAAACTAAAACTAGGGCCCTAAATTTTCTTCTTTGTTCTAGCGATTTATTTTAACTATCTCTAATAAATAATCATAGGACGTATTTTTCCCATAACCTAAAATGGACCTGAGAATATACTAGAGGACACTTTGGTCCATGCCTTTTTTACTTGCTCTTTTACATAAGCTGCAAAGTTAAGTGAACGCCTGGAATTCAGAGGCTACTAATGACTTTCCCTTTACGTTGCTGACGTGGAATAAGCCACTTTCGATATATAAAAATTCTGCTTGGCAGTGAGGCTTATATAGAGGACACAAACAAAGCAAATTGAATGACCATGTTTATTTATTTCTTTTGTTTGTGTCCTCTAGGCCTCACTATCAAGCTGGATTTTAATATATCGAAAGTGGCTTATTTCACGTCAGCAACGTTAAGGGAAATTTTGATAGGTGTGTAATCAACATAAAACCTACCGACTCTACTGAACGCATCTATTTCCAGTGAGGATCTGTGGCTGAACATTGTGCCTGAGAGAAACCCAACAGCCGTGATGTCCATGCTTCAGCTTGCGAGCTCAATTGTCGCCATTCTGTTATCTATAGCAGTCATATCTGCAAATCAAGGACTTCACCTAAAGAGTCATTCCGAGGCCCAAGTCGAAGGATGCTACATCCACAATGAAACCATGGGTGTTTGCTTCGATATTGGCAAACGCCACATGAAGTTACTGAAGACAACCGGGGAACAAATTTTGCTTTACCGAGAACTTGGCCCTGACATGTTGTTCTACCAAGTGTTGGATCAGGCTTTTATTGGGTAAGTAGAATCAACACTATAGAGATTAGTTTATGCATGAAATGACACAGAGTGACGAATATGTGAAATGTCTCTATATGGCAGCTACCTTGCATTTTTATCACTACGTAGACATTGATCTCTCTCCTCGGTAGAAGCAAAGGGGTTTTTTCGCTGCTTTCTAAAACGAACGTTTCGAACCTCTTTCAAGAGGAGAGACGGGACATCGAGCAAAACCTACTAACCAGAGTATATATACTAACATGTTCTATAGGGTATTTTTTAGCCTTGTCTTCGTAGCAGCTCGTTTGCGGGCGCTCGTTTCTCAGGCAGAATTTCTGAATGGAGGTTGTTTTTTAGGCATGAAGGTTCCATGGCTTACGTTCCTGATGACGTTCCCGAAACACCAGACGCGCGGCGAACCTTTTTAAGA